TCCTCCAGCCCAAAGGGCAAATCCCACTTCCTGCGGCCCGGGTGCCGGGAATGCAGCAGGCCCCACCGTATGCCCCACTCCGCGGAAGCTGCGAAGATCTCTGCAGGCGCCTTCTTCTCCTCCGAATCCGCCCAGGGCTTTGATTTGAGCCAAGCCTCCGGTCCAGGGCAGGCCTTTTCTCTTCTTCATGTGTCAAGACAGGGGACTCAACAAATTCTGGTCTCGTTTTTCTTGCCAGGCCCCAAGAGATGGCATCCGCGATCCGCTTCTCCCCTTCACCCATTGCCATCATGGAGTCGAATCTGCAAATACAAACCTTTGCCAAAATCACCAACACTTTACCCGAAAGGCAGGTTAAATAGACCCCGCCTCCAGGACCCCGAAGACCTGGGCTTCGGAGGAGGCCACCCAGGCGTCGCAGCTGAGGAGGTGACTCAGGGCGTTCAGCGGCAGGTCCTGCACCACACGCAGGCGCAGGTGCGGCACCTCCCCGCCCCGCCGCGCCAGGACCTGGACGAAAACGGCGGTGCTTTGATATGTTTCGGATGGGGGCTGGGGACGGCTGGGCGGATGGGGAGGGGGGGGGGATCGATTTTGGTTCTGGGTGGTGGGAGGGCGAGGGGGGGTTGACTGATTTGTCCTTGGTTCGAGTATGTTTGGGTGGGGGGTTGAGCAAGTCCGTCTCTTGAACATCCTCGCCACCTGGGCAGGATTCGGCGAAAACTTGGCGGGCCATACGACAGTGGCTCACGCGTCCCTGTTTCAGCCGAGCCGAGCCGCTCCCTGCAGCTCAAGCATGTCCTGATGTCCTAAGGCCTGTTACAATTCCCCAGCATGGAAGATACCACAAAAAAAATCAGCAAAGTTCAGCCCGTGCTGGGGCTTTTATAAAAGACCTGCTGCAAAGGATGACAGAAGGGCTCCGGATTCCCAGGTGCAGCATGCACTCGAAATTGCGGCTGGACCCCAGAACACCCGCCCGAGCTTCGAACCATGAGCACTAATTACCACATTTAACCAACCAACCTGAATGGTCGTCTTACCCCGCAACCCCTACCCACAAACATGAAACCGACCAAAAGTCCCCTCAGACGGAAAAATCGACGTGGGCTCTCCAGTCGGGTTCCATGATGTTCCAGGCCTCGCAACACAGCGCCGTCTCCTCTTGGAGCCCATGGGCGTGGGCCAGTGGCAGCAGGGCCCAGCAGCTGTCCCAGGGCAAATGCTGCAGCAAACCCACGAGCACCGTCCTGGCCCAAAGGAAGGCTCCGGGACGCATGTCACTTGACAGCGCAAGCCCGGAACAAAACGGGGCCTTTCTTTTGGCACTCGAGGCTTCCTGAATGCAAACCAAGTCATAAACCAAAACTGGCACGGCAGCCTACCCAACATACATAAACATGTATCTGTATGTAATTCATATAGATATAGAGGGAGGCGTACTGGCCGGTATCCGCCAGTAGAACGCCTCATTACCTCACGGGTTTTGAGTTTGACTCTGAGCTTCATGGCTGAAAACCGGGTCTCCCTTTTAACGGCACCCACCGGTCGCTGAAGGGCGGCTTGTTTGCTACCGACTTCATGGCCATCAAAACGACCCCAAAAACGACATGGGAGGTGAGTGAGCCAATTACCTCCCGAGAGGGCACGAAACGTGGAAAGCGGAACTCCAAACGGGTGCGTGGAACAGCTCGTACCCTGGCAGAATTCCAAACTGGCTGAGTTGCAAGAGGTGGCTTGGCATCTATGGACAGTAACAAGCAGAAGCATGAGCCGCCGGCCGGTCATTTTCACCGAACCTGTTTCAATTTCAATTTCGGTCCTGAGGCACGTCTCCACGCTTCGGAGCTGCAGCTCTTGCGCCACGCCCAGCTCAGGCCACCAGGCCTTGCTGCACCACCGCTTCACGTCCTTCGGCCGCACCTCGGGGCTAAGGAACCCCTCGGTGACCAACAGGCTCCCTAAGCGAGAGAGATCCCCACACCCCACACCCCACACCCCCACACACCCGCACCGCACCTCTATACAGTGCCCTGCCCACAACTGGTGGACACCAAAGAAAAAGCATGGCACACTTGACATGCCTCAAGTTAGCGCCTTCATCGGCATCCCGTAGAGGAGTGCCAAAATATTGGCAAATGCTCCAGGCGGAGCATGAACACCTCGGCTCTCGTTCATCCAAGCCTTTCGGCCAATCGGCCAGGATCATTGCTGCCGTTTTTGTTTTTTTTTTGCCACGCACATCATCTCAATCAGACAGGGAGGCAACGCTTCCGTGCCACTGGCACGTTTCGCTGGACTGGAAGCTGGGTCTGCGGAGAGGACTAGCTGCCGTGAAACCCCGAAAGGGTCCTAGTCTCTGAGACATGGTCAAAATTATGGGGACAGGACAGCCCCTCACCTAGGTCTCCTTTCGGAGAAATCGACAGGCTACACTGGCAAATGATTTTGCCGCTACACTAAAACCAGTGGAACGTATCTACCCTCTTTACCATCATTGAAGTGGAGAGCCTTTTGAAAGACCGCCATCTAATTATCATCTCACAAAGGCGCTTGTCCACTCCCATGCTTGCAGGACGTGGCATCCATGCCGAGGCGCGGAGCTCGAGCTCCAGCAGCTGGGCGCGCGCCACACGGAGCTTCTGAAGCTTCAGCCTCCTACGGGGGCGGGAGCTTGAGACGGAGAAACCCCCGTAAAAGGATCCCGAAAACTCGCGATGCGCTGTGCGGTGCTTTCAAGGTGATGTGGTTGGGCTTTTGAGGGGGAAGATGGTAGGGACTCTGCGATTGGGGCAAGGTTGGTGGTGTGCGGTGGGGAGGGACTGGGACAGCTCAACCCAATGAGACTGATTGCTCGTTGGCCTCTTGAGAGGTGTTTCAAAGGCAAAGCAGAAAACAAGATGGAAACCCAACAGATGGAAAGGCATGTGTCCGGGCAAAATGTAACTGCAGCAGGTGGCAGCACAGGCCAGACAAACCAGGAACGTCGAAATGGCAAGCCTAAACAGCAGGTGGTGAAACAGTCCAGCCAGGACCAGGGCAATCTAAGCCCCTGCCGTGCCAAAACGGAAAATGTGCAAAATGCACCTGTGGACCCTACTGAACCACCTCCCATGCTTCCAGATCCTAACGGGGAAACGGGGAATCGGGAGCGTCAGGCCGCCCACAATATTGCTTCCCCGGGTACAAACTTGAGAGAGGACGGACCAAAAGCTGGCAGCATTTGCCAAAAGTGCCAACGCGGCATGTTCACCAGCCTGCTCTAAACAAGTCCTCTTCCGTCGCATCCCCCGACCCACGCTTGTGAATCCACGCATCCATCTGTCTAGGTGTGAAACCAGCCCAGCCCAAACAAACCAGGAAGCAACTGCAAGCCTACAGCGGGAATGGAGACCCCTACCGGTTTTCAACAATCTGTAAACTGAATCCGTGAACTTCTGCTGAAACTCACCCGCTCCCTCCAAAGCAAACCTCAAGCAAAGCTCCTTCGAGGCCAACTTTCGGGACAAACTGTCTGTTTAATTTTGAGGGGAGGGGTTCCTTCACTTTTTTTGCGTAAAACATCAGGTTGATTCATCCAGGTTGATTCATCCAGGGTCAACAACCCGTTCGGTCGCACCCGGCCTTGAGGCGCTCGGCCCCGGCAGCGGCCCCATCTCCAGCCTCGCCTGCACAGCTCATGGCCATTGGGCCAACCACTCCACGTATTTTCCTTCTTTGGTGCTTTGGCTTGGTGGCTGGGGGTGGCTGGGGGTGGTTGGGGGTGGCTGGGAGGTAAGAAGCTTCCCATTTCGGGCATCGCTAGTCGCTTGGATGACCACCCCCCCATCGGCACCAGCTGTCACGGCGCCTGAAGCTTGGCTTGCGTGCTGCCACGAGACTTCGCCCACCTGCACAGCTTGACCCGTCTCTAGGCTCCGTGTCAAGCAATCCCTCTGAAGCAGATCCCCGGCACCCTTATGGCCATTGGCTTGTCTCCCCCCGCCAGCCTGCTGCTGGCTTCAGCGGCTCCAGCCTCTTCAGCACGGTTAATTTTGTAGCTCAGGAGGCGGGACGCGCGCTTCAACAAGTACTTGTGGCACCTGTGACTCAGCAATGCTCACTCAAAGTCTCAAAGGCGAAGCACAAAGAAAAGTCATGGATTACCAAAAGCTACTGGCAGGGATGGCAGGAAAAGGACCCAAAAACATCCAATGTTAAGTTGCATCCTCCGGCACAGGTAGGCTTGCACTGCCTCTTTCTCGCTGGCAGTCTGCGGCGTTCGAGCTTGCACAGCCTCAGTCCTTGTGGCAAGTCAAGCCACAGGACACTGTCACCAAACCTCATTCACCGGCTTGGGATAATTGCTGCCACCGAAGCGCGTGATGCAAAGCACACGTGCTGCGTGCACACTTCCCCCCAACAACAGGACTCACCCGTGGGAGGGTAACTTGAAGATCAACTGCCTCTTGAAAACACCCGCCATGCTAGGGGGAAACGCGTCGTTGACGCAACGAGTTCTCACACCTACCTTTGTCACTTGGCTGGCAGATTCACCGTGATGGCCTTTAACTTCATTTGTTCAAAATGCCTTCTTCGCTGCTGTTTCCATTACCTGTGGAACATTCCCGACTTGATTAATGTCAGCATACCTGCGTCCTGCGCGCCTTCATCCTGCAACCTGCACCCGGCACCCCAGCGAGCGACCCGTCTTGAAGCATTCCAAGCTTCGCACATTTGCCAGCGCCATCTGCCGGTTGCTCAGCGTCCGCCGCTTGCACCACCCATACGCGTGTGTCCGCGGATCCCAGCCAAACCTTCTTGGCCAGCTCCTGGGGCAAGCTGCGTGTCACTGCTTGCCACGTTCCTCAACATTCCAGACACTTGAGGTGTCTGGCAAAAGTATTGACAAGTCCCATGGAGAATGCCTTGGTATCAAGATCATATAAGTCTAGGCAAACCATCACGAAAGGAACCTTCATGGCAAACCAATTTCCTTTGGGAGGTTTTGGCGGTATAGCCCATGGGCCCCACTCGCCATCGGTGCCTCGCCAGCGCCCTGCCGATCCCGGTGCCGGGGTCGCGCTGGAGGCGTCCGCGCCTGCGGCCGCGCGATGGCGGGCATGTACCTAAGGCGCAGGCTGAGGGCACCACAAGTTTATTCGCTATCTTAGCCCTGGCATTCTCGCTTCCTACGTTTGAGGCTGGGAACATCTCCTGTGGGGTCAGCCCGTTCGGCAAGCGGGACTTATGAGCACCGGCTCTTCCACATTCTGCCAAGACTCAGGTCATCCTGCCAGGGATCTACTTTCCTGAGGCGTGGGCACGTATTTTCGGAGGCGCAGACTGAGGCAATTGCCCAAGTCTCACCCCGACTCCAATGTGCAAAGCTTTGACAGGGGGAACCTTGGGCTCACTGGATCTGAGCGTCGCACTTTGGCTACAAGTCCTGTCCCAACACATGAACCGCCATACACCTGCTCAACTGAAGGCAGGTTGAAATAGCTGAACATCCAGGCGTCCCGGTGGATATCCGCACCGCAGCGAGCTCCGCAAAGATCGCAATCTCGTCATGGAGCGATACGCGGTCACAGGCTATCATGACCCTACCTTTGGAGCCCAGCCTGCGGCGCAAAAGCCAACACATCCGCAGTGAAAGTGCTCGAGTTCAAAAACAAACAGGCACGAGCAGTGTAGGATGACTTGCCCGTACAAGAAGGGCGCTCCTTACTCAGACACCCTGTTGCCAGCACGCAAAGCGCTTTTCGCATGCCCAGCTGCCCAGCTGCAAAGAACTAAATGATGTGTCGGCAGTAACCCCTTCGCTTGGCGAAAGGATGTTGGGTTACAAAGTTGCACCAAAGCCTCTGCTCATGCATGGTGTGGGGCAAAAACACAACAACTTGAGTTGACCACAGCAAGAGGCTGCCTCAAGTCGGACAAGTGACTTTCCACACCTTTTCGTTCCGGCCAGTGGCCCCTTTAGCTTGCAGGATCCACTGACTGGAGCATGCCATGGCAAGGCTGTACTTTGGCAAACCGCCATCGACGATGCCATAAAGTGGTTCCTCGGCGCAAGTGCGTTCTGTCAACCACGAAGTGTGGAAGCCAAGACCGATGGCCCCACCGGATGCTCGATTTGTCACCGCATTCAATGGGCTGTCGCGGTTGCAGTGACCCATTGTTCGGGGCAACCTGCTGTTGGCAAGGCATCTTGAAAAATGTTTGTGCCAAATAGAAACAACCCATTTGTGACACATGTTTTTCGCGATGGACTTGCTGCCAGCGCCTCACTCCTCGCTCTGCGCGCGGCAGCAGCCGAAGAACTTTGAGAGCCTGGCCACAGCACCCTTCGGAGACCATAAATGCAGGCTCGCGTTCCCTCCTGCATTCACAAACATCCCTTTCCCTCGTGGAAATGCATGTCTCGAGAGAGAGATGGACAGAAGATAGACAGACAGACAGGCAAAGAGGCTGACGGGCAGGCTGGCAAACAAACAGAGAAACAAGCTGAGAATCGAGAGGAATTGAGACGTAATCCCAATGATGTCTATCCGCACAACGCACAACATCCCCGAACGAGCAAGAAAGTGCCGAGCAGCTCGATTTTGGTTTCACGGCTGGTTTTGTCCCTGGTTCGCACTCCGTCAAAATTTGAATATGGTTTGAGTGTTTGGCAGAAAGGCTAATTTATGAGAGCCTGCTTCCAACCGCAGACTGCATGACGCCACGCACACATGTTGCATCGTCATAAAGTACAACACACCAAATCAAATATGTCAACGAGCGACCCCGACCCTGTGCCCACAGAAATGACCGCCCCCCCCCCCCCCCCCCGTGTTCAAAGAACTTTGTGCAAATAGTATGTAAACCATCTACACCGTTTGCCACGGAAACGAAGGTTCACCCGTCTCTCCCACGCACTTGCGATCACGCGCATCAACTCTTTTCCGTATTCTCTTTGCTCCTGCCAGCCCTTCCTTCCTTCCTTCCTTTCCATTTCCTTGGCCATCGGCGTCATTAGGGGCCGGCCTGTGTATCAACCCGGTCCTGCCTTTCTCCAAGAGTGGATAGTATCGGCTGCTCAGCCTCAGCCTCCACAATCGGAGCCACCGTATCCATGTCCGGAAAGGGGTTGCTCTTCTGGCGCGAGGTCAATTTGCTGCTATGTCCTCAGGAGCTCCCAATTACACGCACAGGTGGTCCCCTCTAGCACGAAGCAAAGGCATACCTGGAAACCGGAAACACGCGGCTGGTGTTCTCGCTCATTGCCTGCCAAAGGCTCTTATGGTGAATCTTTCCGCCTCGGTGGCGACAGCAACTGAGCTCGCCATCTCGCGGCCTCCAGCAGAAATTTGCAGAGAACTTTGCAAAATGCGTGGGATGTATCCAGCCTCTTCTGGATCGTTTGGCTTTGCTCACGCTGCCTGGGCATGAATCATGGCCTATGACTCAGAGTCACCGAGTCATTCCAGCCTTGCCGTCTCTGCCCAGGTCCTAGGGTCTCCCCGTCAGACCAGTCGAACCTCAGCCAGGGTTCCTGTGGAGCTTGGACGAGCTAGCTTCTTTATGGCATCTGAAACAAGCCAGCAAGTGATCCGTATTTCCGACGCAGCCCCAGGAGCACTCCGTCATTCTGCAGCCCTTCGTTGGCCAAGAAATCCTGCATCCAGTTGCGCGCCGCCACTGGCAACGCGAAACAACACCCCGCAGTCTGAAACAGGCGCACCCAGCAGAAAGAAGAAAATGAGCATGATCATGATGACGACAATGATGATGACGAAAATGATATGACGATGAAGATGCTGATGATGATGATGATGACGATGACGATGAAGATGCTGATGATTATGATGATGATTGTGATTCTGATGATGATGACGACAATGATGATGACGAAAATGATATGACGATGATGATGATGATGATGACGATGACGATGAAGATGCTGATGATTATGATGATGATTGTGATTCTGATGATGATGACGACAATGATGATGACGAAAATGATATGACGATGATGATGATGATGATGATGACGATGACGATGAAGATGCTGATGATTATGATGATGATTGTGATTCTGATGATGATGACGACAATGATGATGACGAAAATGATATGACGATGATGATGACGATGACGATGACGATGAAGATGCTGATGATTATGATGATGATTGTGATTCTGATGATGATGACGACAATGATGATCACGAAAATGATATGACGATGATGATGATGATGACGATGACGATGAAGATGCTGATGATTATGATGATGATTGTGATTCTGATGATGATGACGACAATGATCATGACGAAAATGATATGACGATGATGATGATGATGATGATGACGATGACGATCAATATGCTGATGATTATCATGATGATTGTGATTCTGATGATGATGACGACAATGATGATGACGAAAATGATATGACGATCATTATAATGATAATGATGATGACGATGACGATGAAGATGCTGATGATTATGATGATGATTGTGATTCTGATGATGATGACGACAATGATGATCACGAAAATGATATGACGATGATGATGATGATGATGATGACGATGACGATGAAGATGCTGATGATTATGATGATGATTGTGACTCTTGATGATGATGACGACAATGATGATCACGAAAATGATATGACGATGATGACGATGACGATGAAGATGCTGATGATTATGATGATGATTGTGATTCTGATGATGATGACGACAATGATGATCACGAAAATGATATGACGATGATGATGATGATGACGATGACGATGAAGATGCTGATGATTATGATGATGATTGTGACTCTCATGATGATGACGACAATGATGATCACGAAAATGATATGACGATGATGATGATGATGACTATGACGATGAAGATGCTGATGATTATGATGATGATTGTGATTCTGATGATGATGACGACAATGATGATCACGAAAATGATATGACGATGATGATGATGATGATGACGATGACGATGAAGATGCTGATGATTATGATGATGATTGTGACTCTGATGATGATGACGACAATGATGATCACGAAAATGATATGACGATGGTGATGATGATGATGATGACGATGACGATGAAGATGCTGATGATTATGATGATGATTGTGATTCTGATGATGATGACGACAATGATGATAACGAAAATGATATGACGATGATGATGATGATGATGACGATGACGATGACGATGAAGATGCTGATGATTATGATGATCATTGTGATTCTGATGATGATGACGACAATGATGATGACGAAAATGATATGACGATGATGATGATGATAATGATGCTGACGATGACGATGAAGATGCTGATGATTATGATCATGATTGTGACTCTGATGATGATGACGACAATGATGATCACGAAAATGATATGATGATGATGATGATGACGATGACGATGAAGATGCTGATGATTATGATGATGATTGTGATTCTGATGATGATGACGACAATGTTGATCACGAAAATGATATGACGATGATGATGATGATGATGACGATGACGATGAAGATGCTGATGATTATGATGATGATTGTGACTCTGATGATGATGACGACAATGATGATCACGAAAATGATATGATGATGATGACGATGACGATGACGATGACGATGCTGATGATTATCTGATTATGATGACGACAATGGTGATGACGAAAATGACATGATGATGATGATGACGACAATGATGATGATGCTGATGTTGACGATGATTGATGACGATGATAATGATGACGATGACGATTACGATGCTGATGATTCTGATTATAACGATGATGACGATGACAATGAGCATGATGATGATGATGTTAATAACGATGGCGATGACAATGATGATGACGATGACCATGACGATGCTGATGATTATGATGATGATGACGGCAACAATGATGATGATGATGATGAGGAGGAGGAGGAGGAGGAGGAGGAGGATGAGGATGATGATGAGGATGAGGATGATGATGATGATGATGATGATGATGATGATGATGCTGACGATGATGATGACGATGTTGATTCTAGGTGCTGTTTGAGGGGCCTTTAGCATGCAGAATCAGCGCTCCTTGAACAAGCGACGAAGGTAAGCGTAGTCAGGCCGATCCTCGAAGTCCAGGGACTTGCAGTATGAGACCTTGGAAGCCAGGAACTCGAGGTTGCAACATTTGCGCGCGCGTGGAAAAAGAGATGTCTTGCCGTAGCTGCGCTTCCCAAGTGCAATGCTGAACATGCGACATCTTGCAGTCACAAGCTGCATACGAAGCCAGTGCTGAAGAACTACCTTTGCAGAGCTTCTCCACTGACAAGCCTTCTTTGATCTCCATGATTCTCCTCAGAAAGACTTCTTTCATCACAGCCCAGACTCTCATGAAGGACAATGCCTCCACTCACAAATGGCAGTCAGCATCTCTCTGTTTGGCCTCTTTGCCTGCACAGACCTACCGAAGAGGAGAGCATTTGGGCGAGATGGCAACTCAGCCGGGCGCTTGTATTTCTGCTCCTTGGTCCCGGCCTGTGTCGCTGAGAGACAGGAATCCATGTCCAAAGACACGAAACCGGGCGTGAACCTTTCTGCCAAATCGAAAGCTAGCACTCCAACCCGCACATGAGCTCTTGCCTGCAGCCCTTGCCAAGGAAGGACGCCAAGGCTGAAGTACACCAAGATGTACCCCAGCGCCTGCCAAGCGCAACAAGCTCCCCTCGCCTTCAATTGGTGGATGACGACAACCGGCGGAGGGCTAAAGTGAACAGCTCTATGAGATCTACTGCTAGTGGCTGGGGCACAACCCCCTCGCTTGAAGGCCGAAACATTGACAGTGTTGGGTCAAATGTGTCCAAATCAAAAGCCAATAGAAGGGCTTTGTTCTCGTCGAAGGGCATAGCTTGCGTCAAGCATCCCCGCCCTTCTCTCATGTTCTACTTTCGTACGTAAAGGTTGCAATTGTCGAGACGAAGCCGCATGAGGGATTTGTGTCGAGGCGGAGCTTCGCAAGCAGCATCTTGCCTTGCCAATGCGGAAGGTACAAAGTCCGCTTGCACGCTAGCGGAAAGAACGCAGAGGGCTCAGCATTCTGAGGTTCGCAACGCGCTACATCTTGGAAGGACTTGCCGCAAGAATGCCGAAACCGCTTGCTAGGTCTCACGCTGTTCCGGAAAAATGTTGGACATTCTGTTTTGGATGCGGATTGTTTTTCAAGTACTGGTCTGTCCAACGGGTCTGGAGGGGTTTCGGATTTTTTCAAGTACTGGTCTGCCCAACGGGCCCGGGGGGGTTTGGCTTAGCACTGGTCTGCCCAACGGGTCTGGAGGATCATTTGAGTCCCTCAACCAGGAAAGCTACCTGTGATCCAACGCACACGCGCACACGCTCACACACACACACTCACACTCACACACACACACACACACACACACACACACACACACACACACACACACTCACACTCACACTCACACTCACACTCACACACGCACACACAGAGACAGAGACACACACACAGACACACACAGACACACGCACACACCCACATGCAAACACACACACACACACACACACAGAGAGACACAGCGCACACAACCGCGCTTGCGCATAGTCCCGAACTAGGACGCTTCCGAGAGCGCTGCCTCCATATCATCCCGCCGGCTCTGCTCTGATGCCTTGTGGGCGTTGACGGAGGCCTTGACTGCAAGCTGTTTGGGTTTTTCCCCTTTGACCCCAAAGGTGAACCAGCAAGAAGGCAAAATCCCAACCAACACATACGCAAAAGTTCGGATGTACTCACGACTTTGCTGCGGCCTGCTTTTGTGCAAATGGGAGGGCAAACTGACCACTCAGGCCAACGAGTGCTGAGGCTGATGCATATCGAGCAGTGCCAGTCAAACTTTTGCGCTGGCCTCAGTAGGGCAATGGGCAATGACAAATGGCCTCGAAGTGCCACAGTATATTGCCTCACCCACCCACCCAAGCCACGCAACCTTTATCAGCCTAGCAAACAGAATCAAAGCAACGGGCATTCAACGTCCATCCTGCCAGTCCAATCACAGACGAGAAGCTCCAGGGGATGTGCTGGTTGTTGCTGTCCCTGTAGCGCTTTGCAAGGCCAAAATCGATCAAGTACACCTGGGCTTGCACCCACCACTTTTGAAGGAAATCCGAGCGACTCTGGTCCAAGGCGCAAGGTTGAACTTGCTGCCTGAGCCTATCAGAAAGTTGTCCGGCTTCAAGTCCCGGTGGATAAAGTCCTGCCGCCCAGCCCGGCGTCCGGCTGGACTCGCCAACTTGCCACTTGCCAACCGGGTCATTGAGCGTGCAGGCCTTGGAGTGCAGGTACTCTATTCTGTTGATCATCTGCTCCCCCAGCATCAACACGGTCTTCATGCTAAACTTCCGCTGGAAGCTGGAGAAAACGTCCTGAAAGTCTCTGAATGCGCCCCCAAGCTCAAAAAGATCCACGGCACACCTCAAATGGGCAGGGGAGTTCCCCTTGTAACTTTACCCTGGTATCGGTCAGCATCAGCTTGCATTGTTTGGGCACCTCTTGTTCCAAGGTCGCGACTTTTCAGTACAGTTGTAGTATACGCTACACACAGGCTGCCCCAGCAACTTTTCAGTACAAGTGTAGTGTACAAGGTGCATTTTGGCAGCTCCAGCGGTAGGGTCGCAACTTTTCAGTACAAGTGTAGTATACAAAGTACACTTTGGCAGCTCCGGCTCGAAAGTCGCAACTTTTGAGTACAAGTGTACTATAGTGCAGTGTACCAAGTACATTGTGGCTGCTAAAGCTCAAAAGTCGCAACTTTTCACTACACATGTCAACACAAAGTACAATGTGGCAGCTCCAGATGAGTTGGGTATCGGTTTGGGCCTTGCGAACTTCTGATGTTGCAATCTTGGAATTCTTCAACACCTTGAACCTGATACGTGGCTTTGTGTTTTTTTGTACGGGCATTACGGTATCACTATTTTCCTCAGTATCGGTTTACAGTGTTCCGGGCCTGCAAAGAAAGTTACGGGACGGGCCCTTACATAACGAAAAGGCGCGGGGCTTCTTTTTTGACCCAGATGGTCTGTTGGGTTCCTTGTTGACGGGGGAGTGAGAGCCGCATTGCTGTTCTGTCCAGGCTTGCGTGTCGGCGAACTTGACACATCATCGCACGCTTTGCCAGTCCTCCAAGGATGGCCCGAGCAAATCCATCACCATGACGTTAAAGCCGCCTCATTTCGTGACAGTGTTGGGCTTCACATGCCGCATTAATCCCTCGGCACATACCTGCATTCTGGACGGGGTGCTCGTATCTCCACTTTCGACTCAAGACATCCTACACCACCTGCATGCTGCCAAGTGCATCCCACTTACAAGAATGATATCTCTGTTTTCCGCTGCCTGTCAGGACCCAGTATCAACACGCGATGGTATAGCTCACTCCCAACAAAATCCTGCAGGCAGGTAATTGGGGGAAGCAAATGAAACACGCGCCAGTCATCTCCGTGGCGGTTCTCTGGGTCTCCGGGCCCTCCCTGCCCGAAAAATATACGCTGGAAAAGCCCTGGCCCCCCTCCAGATGCTTCAGAAGCTTGGCTTCGTAGAGAAGCATGGGATGACTGCCTGAGGCGAGGGGTTGGATTCAACATGTAAAGCCGCTGTTGTTTCAACAGCCTCCAGCTCAGCTCCCTTCAAAGGGGACCCTTGTGGGTGCTCAAACAAAATTGCCCAATTCTGGTGTCCGTTTCGCACTGAACCTATGCGGGTCGAACAGCTATAGGACTTGTAGGGGTAAGCACAGCAGGGAATGCGTGTGTTTGAGACACCCCGAGTGGAAGTTCCAGATTGCCTTTCTCCAGAAGCCCATGACATCCGAGTCGCCGTCATTGCCTTCGACCTTCACTGCCACTTCTTGTCCGTTCTGCGCGTTGATTGCTTGGTAAATGCGTCCGAACGAGCCAGAACCTCAGTTTCTGAACCATTTGCTGAAAATCTACAGCCAGATTGTTTTGTGTTCCCCCAACATCTACTCCATGGTACCCCACGAGCCCCATCCGCCCCCAAGCTGGGAGCAGGCTATTCGAGAAAACATAGACGGGATCCAGGCGAACAATTTGCCATTCCAACGCCAAGCTCAAAGCACTCTAACACGGAAAAATCGTCAACGAACCCTCGCACTTTGACTGCTTTACTTCACGTTCCCTTTGCTGTTTTTGGATGACAATCCTCGCCACGGTGGCGTGCGTGGTGCTGCGTCAGCCTCACGCCAAGGCGTCTTTTCGTCTGGGCGCCCGGCCGAGCTTCCGTCCAACTCTAAAGACTCCCCCCACAAGGTCCAGGGGTGGAGGTGACTCCTGAGCGCTCTGTAAATGGCAACCGCTCCGCTGTTTGTACTTTTCTTCGACGAAAAAAGGCTGAGGCGGCCGAGGGGCGTTGCTATGCACAGTGTCTACTGCCGTGGCATAGATTGAATGTCGATCCGTGAATTCCATGGAGGTGTCTTCACACCAATGAAGGCCGTTGCGTCATCACTGACGCCTGGCACGCGACTTCTTCCAAAGGGTCCGCTAGTAAGCAAAACCTCTCGCCAGCCTGAAGACCATTCCGGCACTCACAGAAAATGAGGCAAAACAGCTCGAGCCCACGGCGGGGAAGGATGCAAATGGAACGTCTGAAAAAGGTGACCCGACTGAAGCTTAGCATTTCCAACATTTTGACCAACATCCAGCTTGCGCGAATAATAGTAAGTCAGTGAGTCAGGGTTCTGCTCCCACAGTGCCATGGCCGTGCTTCCTGAACTTGGTGTCCGCATAGCATGTCTGCAGGCGCCTCATGGTCAAGGCCGCTCCTCAGCTCATTCGGGCCACCCGCAAGCACCCGAACACAAGATAACGCGTACAAATAGCAGTCGATGACGAGAAAACTGTGCAAACTGTCACGAGCCGTTTTCTTAAACATGTAAAATGTGACCGACAAGGTGGTTGGGCCACCGCCATTTGGTGCGGCATCAGTGATCACAAACGCTTCTCGCTCAAGCACGAAAACGTCAAATTCTTGCTCTGCTCTGGACATGAGTGCATTGGAAACAGTGGGGGGCCTCACAGGATCCGCAAGATCCAATTTCGAGGTGTTCGGCCAGCGGAAACCATGCTCAACACAGAGAGGACTTGGCCAATTCCTTGGACATCATAGGGTGCCGGCGCTCGGAGAAAATGGTAAGGCAGCCTGGCAACATGCGGCGCAAAGTCCCCGCAATGGGACAGGAACATTTGCGCGATGACTGTTCATTCCAGGCCGGCAACCCAAGCAACTGTATACAAGACATCACTTGCAAACATAGATTGGCAGGCCAGTAACCTTCGGGCCCTTCTGACTACAACCCGTACCCGTTTCGCAATCACATACAACGCTGCCAAGGAACTGAGCAGAGGGGCGACGGGCAGCTTCATGTGCAGGTGCTGCAAAAACATGCAGATTGTGTGCAACAGGACCGCAAAAGCATTGCACAGCATCACACCCCACTCCGCAAGCCTCATGGCCTGCACCGTCAAACTTGTACCTCCGCACACGCACACGGATTCGAATCACTCACATATACACTGTAGCTGCTTTGGTGGCCAGGCTGCCTCCGGCCTACGATAATGCAGCGCTCTTTTTTCCCAAGTATTCTGCAGCTACCGTGCAGGTTACATCATTTGCAAACCTGTGGTCATTTGCAGGTCTCAATGACATGCAGCATTACCGGAAGTCGCAACTAGTATCAGTTTTGTACGGGCCTAGGTTTGTGCCATGCTGCTTGCCACGTTTTGCGCCCCCCGCTCGTCCAGAGCCGTGCATCAGGTGTCAAAATCTGCGCATGGTGACTCAGATCAACGCCTCCCGCGGGACCGCGACCGAGAATTCCTGCCCCGATCCTCCGGCTTGCGGGAGTTGCACTTGAAGCACTCCGTCCTCCGTGCGAAGTTGTTGCTGCCGCAGCCGCTGCACTTCCAATCTCCAGGACGAGGCTCCTTGCCCCCGCCCTTGCCCTTGTCCTTGCCGCCGTCCTTGCCAGCACCCGCCATGCCACGGTCCTGGTCAAAACTCTGCCAGTGAAACCTCACACTAGTCGATAGTGGGAAGCTGTATCTGTGGAGCCTGGACACTCTTAGGCTCAGACCAGCGTATCACTCAAATAGATGTTTTTGCGCCACTCCAGTCAACCCCAACTTCTCTTTGTTCGCCAGCAATGGCCAAGTCAAACCAACTTATCCGGTTCTGCCTACTTGCGATCCCATGTTTGAAAATGAGTCAAAAATACCACCAAACAAAGGTGGAAGCCGCGGGTTTCCACGAATTTCCACCCGTCCTCTCTCAGCTCGCCCCGGGCCGCCTTCTTGCGGCGCTCCTTCAGCCAGTCCGGCGTGCCGCTCTCGGAGCTGGGGCTCCTCGCCTTGCGGTCACTGTCCCCCATGGGAAATCGAAACGGGAATGACTGGGGGCGAGAAGCCAAAATGGCTTAGGCGTCCAGCTCGTCGCAACCGGACCCCCAAAAAACGGTCTGTTTGGTTCCCCACCACAGCAAGGCACCAACAAGAAGCGCACGCCCAGTCATGATTGCAAGAGATACGCTGGCATGGCGAAAATGGCAGCCGGACCGTCTGAAATTACCTGCCATGGTGGGTCACTCGGCAAAGGCATCCTTGAAGATCCAGCCCTGCACCGCCACATCCTGCCAACTGCAACCCTTCAATACTACAGCTGGGTCGAACAGGAGGTCAACTTCAAGGTGTCCTTCCCAGCACTCTGCGCGGTGAACTTCAATCCGTTCTGACTGGCCTGTGACAACATGAGAAATCCGATCACTTCCCAAAGTGTTTTCCCCGCATGACCCCCGGATAATTGGCCAAATGTCATCCGCACAAAAACGTCCGAAAATAATCGCACGACCAGCAGGGGGTCAAGAGCGCCACCTTGTTCTTGTCTGAACGAGTGACTGATACACGTGTTTGTCCAGCGTTTTGTTGCGGGTTTTCCGTCCTCGCTGACGCCAAGGACGGGGGGAGGTGGCAATTTCATGATGGTCACATCATCAAGCGGACCAAGACGACACCATGGCAACCACCCAACGGCCGCAGAAGGCGGCTGCGAGCGACCCTCGGACTTATGTGGGCTTTGCGGTGCTTCAGGAACACCCCGAACTGTTCTCTTTTTTGTGTTTCGTTTGAGGGACCGCATCATGAAGCGCGCTTGGATGCGGAATGTTTGCCCGCTGAAATTCCCAAGGGCATGTTGCTGAATTGCCTGTTCTCCACATGAACATGCCAGCGCAAGCTTCCGTGGTTGCTCGCAGTTTGGGAGCTGAGGGGCACGGGGTTTCAACTATGCTTTCTGTCTTCGGGCACTATCGTTCAAACCTAAGCTACTAGATTTGTTTTGCCAGAAAATGCAGCAGGAAGGTAAGCCATCCGCAGGACTTGTGACAGTTTGTTTTGCGCTTGCAACGGCATCTCCGTTTGTCTTCCCGCCCAGTCAGTGCGGCAGCGGACCAGAAGAAGAAGAAGAAGAAGAAGAAGAAGAAGAAGTGGAGCTGCTAAAAACATACAATAGCCCGCTGGGTTTCAAGCAGCATCAATTTGACGCCTTGATGCAACAGGCGTCTCAAACAAAGGGCCTTTTTGGCAGCGCGGACTTCAAGCAGCGTCGGAAGCCAGGCGCCCGTCGGCAGGAAATGCAGCCCAGCTGCACCCTGGCAACTTCCAGCCGAGTCAGCAGGAAACGCATGACTGCTTTGCATCATGTCGCACCAACGCCGCTTCCACACTGACACACCGAATATGGCACAGACTTCTGATGCGGACGTTCTTTGACGCAGCAACCGCGTTGCCAGCCACGCTTGCATCACCCTCAGTACGCTTACGCTGTCCGCCGGCGCGAATCGGGATGGTTGCGGAGCGTCACTGTCATCTCTCGGCGACGCCTGCAGAGGCCATTGGGGAAGCTTGCACTAACGTCGGCGGGCAACTTGCCTGGCCCGCCCAGGCCTGGCGAAAAGAGACTTGCTTACCTGGCCAAAGCAAGGTGGATGGAGAAAGAACTAGACTGGCCTCCCACCGCCGCGCGTGTCAGGACAGCCACGCACGCTTCAAAGAACGCCCCCCAGCATGTGTTGAAGGCGCACCAGGCCTTGGGGCTCAGCAGAACGTGCATGGCAAGGAAGGTGTCGCCGTTCAGCATGTGCTGACGCCACTCAGCAGCAGCAAGCCCCGTTCTCTCAGCTCAGCTTGGGCTACACCTCCCGCAATGCACACCCGGCCTTCAGCCTCCGCGCCACTCCCCCCTGCAGCCGCTCCAGCGGGCGGGCGGCGGAGAACGTCCACCAGCGGGTCAGCGCCGGGCTGGCGCGTGCTTCCAGGCATCTTGCGATGCTCAGCAAACTCGACGACCGGTCGAGGTACAATGAGGGGCTCAGAATCCAACTCCTTGCAAACAAAGCACAACCTAAACAAGTAGTGCGCTCCCAGAACAAGTCTGAAGTCTGCCATACTTGGTTCGGGGTTGGCAAAAAAAAAGAGGGGAATTTTCTCAGACCCCTCTGCGAGCCCCTGACGCCCCTGAGATTTTTGAGAGCCTGTGAGAATCCTGACACCTGCTGAGAATCTTTGAGAACCCCTGAGCTGGAAGATACGGGTGAGCGTCAGCCCCCCTAGCTGATCCACAATAACTTGGGCTAGGTCTGTGCCAGACGGTTGACTGGGAGGTTCTTGTCTGGTTCAAAGAGTCCGCCATTGACTGAGCTGTTCCAGGCAAGCTGTGGGACCATTTGGCCTGGGATCGGCCTGTCATAAGCGCGGGCAAGCCTTCTGCGTTGTTGACACCTTCTTCTCCTTGTCGCAGCTGCCACGTGCCTGATATTTTGCAATCGCTCCAGGACGACCAGTTTGGGCTACGCCAGCGCCTGACTGTGCACTTGGAACCCCCAAGTTGGAGGACACGCAAAGCATGCCGATGCCTTCCAGCTGACACGAAGCACAGGCCTGAGACTTGATGTGCCCTGATGCTGCGTCAGCGAACTCGGGGACATCTTCTTGCTGTCCGCAGTGGACGGCGCGCAGGAGTTGGAGGGGCAAAAATTTGACTTTTGGGTGCTGCAAAAGCAGCGCGATTGCTTTTAGCAGCCCGGCCAGCATGACCGACGGCGTCCAGTCCGGATCCTGGCTGATTTGCAGGCGGCCAGTGCGCACTTGACCGAACCAGGGTTCGAGCCGCCGTCATGGCCTGCTTTGCTTGGGAACGATGCGCCTCGCCCGCCTGACATCGAACAGGATGCCCCGAGCTTTGGGCGAGGGTGGCAGCAGGCTGCAGCCGCGGTGCTTGATTTGCGTAGGGCTAGCCACAGTGACGGCCTTGATCCAGCATCCCTGGCCTTGTTGCTCGCCCAAGCTGGCCCCTGCTCGGCCCAGGTTTTCACCATGCTGCCAACTGCTCCGGAGATCACCCTTGAGCCGTCGCTTTTCCGTGTACTGCTACTCCGGCGGCTCCGCTTGCCATTGCCGCTAGTGTCTGCCCGCTGTTCCTGTGGCAGTTTGCAGGACCCTCTTGGGGATCATCGGTCGGCGTGCCCGCGTGCAAGTGTGCTGCGCACGCGCGTGGAGGGCCGTTGGGGCGTGCGGCTGCGCGAGTGTGCTGGGAGGCCGGGGCGGCGTTGCGCGTTCCCACCGCGCCAAGGAACGCACGTACCCTGAGCTGCTGGCGACCCAATCTCGCTGCCGGCTGGTCGTGATTGCCCCTGAAGTGGGTGGACGCTGGAGCGCCGAAGCCGTGGACTTTGTCCGGCAACGCGCCCGAGCCCGAGCCCGTTCAGTACCGGAACGGCTGCGCAGTGTGCTGACTGCGGCGTACGTGAGGCGATGGTGTTCCTTGCTCGCCGCCGCAGCATCCCGGGCTTATGCCGCTAGCTTGTCCACGACCAACGTTGACGGCGCCCCGCCGTGCATCAGCGACATTCTTGGTGCGCATGCTGAGCCTCCGCCGGATGCTAGCCGGCCCCAGTGAGGCCGTGAGAGAGGAAGCTGCCCTCTCACACGCAAACAACTCGTGAAGCTTCCCGTGCCCGGAAGCGCCCCATGAGCAAGGCGAAACTAGGCACACCGACAGTTGCAGCGGAAAAAGGCGCGTGGGGAAAAAAACAAAGCTTCCCATGCCCGGAAGCGCCTCATGAGCAAGGCCAAACCCTCTGGTGCCCGGTGGCAAACCGCGTAGCACGCACACCGACAGTTGCAGCGGAAAAAGGCGCGTGGGAAAAAAATCGACCACAGCTGGCGTGCTCGTACGCGAGCGTGCCATCGCCCGGGTTTGTCGCAAGGCTGGGGCGCGGGTAACGTTTTCCTTCGCGACCTCAACCGGCGAGGTGGTCGCGACGCTTGTTTTTCTGCCCGGTGCAGCGCGATGGGACCAATCGACCGCGCCGACGCCGAGCCGCAAGCGCCGGAGCACCTACCCAGAGTTCCGGGCGCGGCGCGGCGCCCCCTCGAGGTTGGCGCTGGGGGGACGAGACGGAAGCGCTCCTGCAACGCCTCGCGCCGGGCAAGGCCTTGGCCAGCCCCGAAGCCTAGCGCGGCAAGGTTGCCGCCGCCTACGCGCGCCGGTTGCAGTTGCTGGCGGTCGCAGCTGCTTCCCACGGAGACGCCGCTGACAACATTTGGGTCGGGGCCGTTCTGCTGCATGTGGGGTGCTGTGCCCAGTGAAAAACAACCGCTCAAATCTGAATATTGGGCCCTCTTTACACGGACTTCCTAGATCCAAGGCCTTTACCCTTTGAACTGGGAAAAACTTGGGTAGGTGAACCACCCTGCCAGTAAAAAGCTGTGGCTTCAGTTGAAGAATCTCAGCAACCCAAAAACAGTTGGACACCAAAGAGGACACCAAAGAGGACACCAAAGAGGACCCCAAAACAGTCACGTTAAAAAGGAAAGAAACCCAAAAGGCTGCAGGCGCGTGCGCCTCGGCGGGGCGCAGTCCTAGCCATGCCGCAATTGCGCGGCGGCCTGGTCAGGAAGTGGCAGAGTCGGCACCGAAGAGTAAGGAGGCTAGACACTGGCACGCTGCCTCGTCATGAGCACGGGCAAACTCTGTGCTGTGGCTGGGCGCCACGGTCCGGAGAGCATAGGTTTTTGCACACGGACCTTTTTCCGTCAAGCCGCGGTGAAACAGGGTCAAAACACGCGACCGATCCCTACGCGCCCGGCGCCCAACGGGCGTCGGAAAGGACATCTTCTTCTAGCGGCGCGCTGGGGAGTTGGCAGACGCTCCCTGCGCTGCGACTGCGAGCATCTGCCCCCACAGTTAGATTTCAGTCACCTAACTACACAAAAAGCAACAGGGTACCAAAAAAGCGAAAGGGTCCCGTCGGAATCCCATCCCGGAACCGCATCACGTATTCCCTTTTCGACTGTGAGTGCGCGCCTCCCGCTCTAATCGTGAATTGGGGGTCCCCCCCCAAAACGTTTGCGCAGTCCGGTTGAGGATGGGGTTCCGATGTTTACAAATGACCTCTCGCAGATGGAGTACTCATACAAACACAGACCTTATGTGAATGCAGCGCTAACGAACCAGATAGTGCAGACGTCCCAAAGGTCGTTCAAAGAACTGTTTTTTGCTGGCCCGGGGTTCGTCCCCAGATTAAGTGCTCCAGCCCGCGAGGCCCCGGACCGGACCGGCACGCGAAGACCGGACCGTCTGGGACCGGACCGCCCGGACCGGGCCGGCCATTCCCTGGATCGACTGCTCCCGTCACGTCTAAGCGGGCTGACGAGCGTCACCGGCTGTCGCCAGCTTGTCCTCTCCCTTGGTGTCCCCCCAGTTGGCATGAAGTCTTTTGGCCAGGGCCAAGCCTGGCGCCGGTCATCAAGGCGGTCAACCGGGAGGTTCATGTCCGCAAGGCGTGAGCCGACCGTGACTCGAGCACCCGCGGCTCCGCAACAACCCAGCCCGGGCGCACGCTGTGCGGTGGTCGCCAAAAAGGTCGAGGCGGCATGATCGGAGATGAGTCGGAGCCGCCGAGGGGCAAGAATACGGAACAAGTGCGACGGGACCGACAACTGAGGGGAGACCGGGGGAACAGTGAACAGCCGACCAGCAAACGGGCCCTGCCGCAACACGCGAGCAACTGGAAGAGCGGTCAAGCTGGGTGCGCAGCCTGTCCTCAACAGCAGCGGTGGCCTGACGCTGCCGCCCACGGGCGGGATCTCCAAGCAAGGCGAGGCCATCGCAGAGGGGCGGAGGTTGTCGCCAACAGGCTCCCCTTTTTGGAATGGTGCTCAGGTAGCGGTGGACACCACGTTGGTCTCGCCTCCACAGGCGCTGCAACTGAGCAGCCACAGAACGCGGGGGAACTCAATGGAGCACCACGCACAACAAGCCCGCGGGATTCAGGGGGCAAGGAGTGGCAACCCAGCCGGACAAAACCAACTCCCGCATTGAGATCGCCGACCCGGGCGGGACTTGGCCAGCAAAATTCCAGAATCGGGCCTTGCCGTGGTTCAGCTGGATGCGGGCGTGACGCCACAAGGCCACAGCGAGGAGGTCAAGAACCGGTCTGTCACGCTCAGGCTGCACAACGAAGTTGGTGTCATCGAGAGGGGAAAGCAGCGACCAGCATTAAAGGGTCTCCTTGTTCCCCACCCTCCGCCTGAAAGACCACATGGGGGACGCCATCAGCGTCATGCCACACAAACTCCAACCGGGTGGTGTAGAAGAGACGCGCAAAAGGCAGGCATTTTGTTTTTCTCACGCACCTTTTTGCGTCTGCCCGCAGCGTTGAAACACGTGCTCAAGGGAGAGTCCCGGGCACTAGGACACAAGCACAGCTAGGGGGTGGCGGGGGCCGGCACTAAGGAGCGGCGGGGGCGCCAAGAACCGTCACCGAAGACGGGTGACGAGGGGCGGCGGCAGCCGTGGCGGAGCGGAAGGGAAGGGGGACTTCACGCGCCCGAGCTCAAGCGAGGAGGCGGACGAAGGACGCAGTTTCCTCGCTCCACCGGCCACCGACCTCAAGTGCGAGGACAACGAGGCGGCACCGGTGGGCCCAGAGGAGCTCGGGGTAGGCGCGCTCCTTCCGCAAGCGGGTTTCAACGAGCGACGCGCCACGAGCGCGCCTGCCGGCGAGGCCCCCACAGCGGGAGACCGTTGGCGACTTCCAACCGGCGGTCGTCGAGGCGATCGACGGCATTAGCGCCAGGGACAGACTGCAAGCCACGCAGCATGGCGGTGCGAGATGTCGGGCGATGGTGGCAGTGGGGCCAAGCTCGGCTGCGACAGAAAGGACGCGCACCACCGAGTCGGTGCCAGAGCGAGTAAACAGAGCAAATTGATGCGGGCTGCACACTTCCTGGGTGGGCGCGGCATACTGCTGCGCCAAACTTCGTGCGAGGCGGTGAAGGAAATCACTGACAACAACGCCCCTGACCCGCCCTGAAGGCTTGGTGAGAGCAACGAGCCGACCGAGGCCAAGGGCGGAAGCGATGGCAGGGGGCACGGCCCCTCTGGCCAGCAACTGGCGCAGGAGCTCGGCAGTGTGTCCGGAAGGGCCGCGCGAGGAACCTTTCCTGGCCCGGCGAAGGGGCCCGCAATCGTAGGCTTCTTGCGGGCACGAAGCTCCTGGGGCGTAGCCTCATTGCAGGGACAGGGCCTGCACGCGGCGGACAAGCCCCCAAGGTGGACGAGGTGACGGGCTTTGCGGGCAAAGGCCTGAAAACCCTCTGGGCCGGGCCCACTGCGGGCAGCCCGTGGCGGGTCATCACCCCCTGCAAGGGCTGGGCAACAACGTCATCCACTCCCCATGGGCCGGGACAAGTGCACGGCCGGACACGCCGCCCTTGCAGCCCAGCCGCCTCCCCGATTCCCAGCTCCGCGCTGCTCTGTCGCGTCTGGATGCGGTGGACGTGTTTGCCCTTGCTTCCTGTGCAGGTCTTTGTGTTCCAGCCCCCTCCGGTTTTTGTTCGTGGCCCTGTGCGCCACGCGCTTTCCATCGCCTTGCAGGCCATACTCGATGCGAGTTTGATTGACGACGGGCATGTCTTTTCCCAGCGGCCCCTGCTGATGGTGCGGCTGCGGCGGGCGCCCCGGCCGCGAGTGCTGGGCCTCCGGCACAGGGGCGAACGTCTGTCCGGGCAGCGGCGGGGCCGGCTAGCAGAGCGAGAGCTATGGTTGGGTGCTGGCGCCGAGGAGGCAGTGGCCGCAGTCGCGCCATGGAGCTAAGCGGGGCGGCAGGGCGTGACCAGGAGGGCGCCGCGCGGCCTAAATCCGAGGCCAAGCACTCTCCAAGAAACAACAGCAAAGGAGCCTCCTCAGCCGAAGCAGGCATGTAACCCCCGTCAACTTAGCACCCTTCCAGGACCCACGGGAAGTGAAGGAGAACGTGCCGGCAGAACCGCAGTGGCAGCTCGCAGGGAAGGGACCAGCGAGGCTTCCGCGGAGGGTAGTTGGCGGCGTCAGCATCGGGCTGGAGCAGCCAACGGGTTGAAGTTGCTTCCGGGGCTGGCTGTGACAGGGGCCGGATCCTGTAACTGCAAGGCATGCCAGTCGATGCCTAATCGGCAAAGGGCCTCGAGCTCCGCATCAAACCGGGGCTGCCAACCGCACTGCATGCACCAGACATGGGCGCGAGACCGCGTTTTTTTTTTCCCTCGCTAGACACAAGGCATGGTAGGCATGTCCGCAGGCCAGCGACAGGGAGAGCCACACCAACGCCATCAGGAAGAACAGGGTCCAGGGTCATGCAGACATTGTCAAGGAACGCACAAAGACCCGAGCCTCCTGCTTGGCTCAAAGTAAAACAAGGACTTTCTAGGGGGGTGCGCCCAGGCTAAAGAAGTTCACCCGGCCTTCGAGCACTGTGGAAAAAAGTAAGTCCAACCCTTGTGAACACATTCGCCTTTTGCCTTTTCAAGGCCCGCGTTGACTATTAGAGGGCTCAAAACATCACCATGCTTAACGGGGTGTATGGCCAACGTTTTGCTGCAATGTGGGAACCCTGTTTGCTGCGCATACACATGTTTCAGCAAGGCTACATATTCTTCTGGCACTCCCACAGCTTTTCCGCAAACAACTTCCTAGCAAAAGCAGAGTCGACTCCCAAGTTTGGGCGAAAACCAGTTGGATCTTGCGATTGTCGCTGGCCAAGCAAAAGACGCACTAATTGCAGAAGTCTTGACAATATTTTTGTACTCCTATTGCTTGGGAAAGGTGAGTCGCCGGATTTTTACATATATTTTTAAGCGGTGTGTCGCCAGCATGACTCTACGTTTCCCGTCCACAGCATGTCATTGAACGCTGAAAGTGTTGACAGTGTGGTCACACCGGGTAGCTTCAGGGGGCGTTCCCAAAGCCACAAGGCTGAACATCGGGTGCAGGGACACGATCCCTGCTGGAGGCGGGCGGGAAGCGGCGCTAGGTTTCCCAAAGTTGGCCTCACGCATTGTTTTTGGCACGGCGGAAGTTGGCCGACTCGCCCATGTTCACAAGGCGGCGGGTGCGGTCAAAACCGCCTGCGGGGTTGCGCTCAGCAGGCTCGGGTTCGGCCACGGGGCGGGTCGGGGCTAGTCTTTGGTGGCGGCACAACCTGCGTCTGGAACTTGGCAATGCGAGCGCCGCAGGCTTGCAGCCACTTGATGCAGAACTGGTCTGCGTCCTTGCCCCCGGCGCAGCGGGGCTTGGTAACACTCGGAATGCCGCTGGGCCATCCTGAGCCCGGATTACACAGCAGTTGCTCTTGGATAGCGTCGGCTCTTGTTGTTTTGCACAGCGCCTCGTTGCAGTTGCCTACTTCGTCCCCGTCTCCGTCTGGGGCATGGGGCGCAACATGACACGGTGTTCGGGCATGCCTGGCGCAATTTCTCGCCCACGCAAAGAGGCGGCCATCGCTGGTTTCCTTGCGGAGGTACTTCCATGCAAACGTTCAGACGCTGCTGGAAGCCGCTGCCGGGCAGGACGTCGCAACGCAGCCTCTGCACAGCCCGCGCGGCCCAGCCGGCCTGCATCAACGAGCCCCTACGGTGACTCCGGGACACAAAGGAGGATACGCAGCTGCTCCACCATGCGGGACAACAATTTGCGCTGACGGAAGTTACCGAAGCCATCGCAGCCATGCTCTGCCTAGGCCGCATGGTGGCGCTGCGCAAGCCAAGCGGCCAGACAGAGAGACAGACAGACAGACAGACAGAGAGACAGAGAGACAGAGAGACAGAGAGACAGAGAGACAGAGAGACAGAGAGACAGAGAGACAGAGAGACCGAGAGGCAGAGAGACAGAGAGACAGAGAGGGAGAGAGAGCGAGAGAGAGCGAGAGCGAGAGCGAGAGCGAGAGCGAGAGCGAGAGCGAGAGCGAGAGCGAGAGCGAGAGCGAGAGCGAGAGGGAGGTAGGGAGGGAGGGAAGGAGGGAGGAAGGGAGCGAGGAGAGGGAGAGGGCGAGCGCGAGAGGGAGAGGGAGAGAGAGGGGGAGAGGGAGAGGGAGAGGGAGAGGGAGAGGGAGAGGGAGAGGGAGAGGGAGAGGGAGAGAGGGAGAGGGAGAGGAGAGGGAGAGGGAGAAGAAAAAAAGAGGAAAAAAAAAGAAAAAAAGAAGAAAAGAGGACGAGAGAAAGAGAGAAAAAGAGAGAAAGAAGAAAAATGGAAACAGAGAAAAGAGAGAGAGAGAGAGAGAGAGAGAGAGAGAGAGAGAGAGAGAGAGAGAGAGAGAGAGAGAGAGAGAGAGAGAGAGAAGAGAGAGAGAGAGAGAGAGAGAGAGAGAGAGAGAGAGAGAGAGAGAGAGAGAGAGAGAGAGAGAGAGAGAGAGATAGAAGAGAGACAGGCGCAAAGGCAGAGACAAAAACATGCCTCTGGTCTTACTCTTCCGTGAAACGTGTTGCCACGGCAAGCATCAAGGCCAGGCCCTGGACTCGCACGGCCTAAAAAGGTAAACTTGCGCTGGCTGGGCGCAAAAAGTTGTCTCTCTTGCTGATCAGTGGTCCTTCACAACATCCGTATTGGGCGTGTGGGTGGGTGCCTTGTTGTTTTGGCGCACATGCCAAACGGTTGCTTGGGACGTGAACGCCCAATCGCATTCGACGGCGCTTTGTGGCCAACCCAAGAAGCAGCGCTTCGTTGGACGTGCTCAGGCTGGACCCTCAGACATGCTCTTTTCCGCCACAGTATGGCCGAAGGTTGTTCGCCACCATCGCGCGGACGTGACGCCAGAAGCTGACCGGCCTCGCAAATCACTCGCTGGTCTTTCTGGTCCTTCCGAGCCGCTCACAACTTGAACAATCAGCTCAACCAACTCGTCACTCACAGCGTCAGGGTCCTTTTCCCGCAGCGTCAGTGCGAGCAAGAGAGTTGCCAGGTCCTCAAACTCGCCAGCACGGAAAGGAAACCAAGCCCACTTGGGAGTCCCCAGATGTGTGACAGCCCGTGCAGTTTGCGGAGTGCAAACCCGCCTAAGTGACGGGCCCGGCAATGTCGCGCACATGTGTACTGCATGTGTATGTGTATATACATAGAAAAAGTATAATATATATATATATATACACCTGACCTGCAGTCAGGGCACGTTTGCGCTGTCCAGGCGGCATTCCACGGAGCCACCTCGCATAGTCCGCCCCGGACACAGTTGTAGAAACGACCTTTTTCCCGTATGAGATGCTAAGTGCCCCCCTTTTCAGCCCATCCTGTTTGCGTGTTTGCCTCCTTCTATCACATAAAGCCTCTGCCCGTGCAGGATTCATCGTTGCAACTAAACCTCTCCCTGAAGCGCAACTACACTTCCACTTGAAAGCGCAAAGCACTCAGAAGAAACCTGCCTTGCATGTCACCTCGGCATCGCTCCCATGGCCACTTCCGACGAGCAATCTTCCAAAACGCGTATGGCTGCGTGGTGGTTCATTGCAATCATGCTTGGAATTGGCTGCTTCATGAGTTCACGCACTGTGAGCTTGAGTCGTCTAAGGCTGCTCTGGCTCTCGGCGGCACAAGCCATCGGTGTTGGCAACAGACTCCGTGCTTCCACCCTTGCCACGCCGCTTGCATGAGTCAAGTCGATGAACAGGGGAAAGACGCAAGGCTAGATGCTTATGCTTGCTGAATGCATGCTAGATGCTCCCTAGATGCTTGCAACATGCTTGCTAGATGCTCGATAACTTGAGAGATGCTGGGACAATGCCTGCTAGATGCTCCCTAGATGCTGCTTGGTAGATGTTTGCTAGATGCTTGCTAGATACTGTTTAGATGCTTGCTAGATGCTTGTCAGATGCTTGCTGGATGCTTGCTAGATGCTTGCTAGATGCTTGCTAGATGCTTGCTAGATGAGGCTCGGCGCTGTGCGCGGAAAACGTGCGAACCCCGCAGAGCGGAAAAAAACAACCAAATGTGTGGAAAAACAAAGCACAGTCTCTGCGGAAAAAGCGGACCCCTCCTGAAAGGGGGCCGTGATGAAGGTTGTCTTGGGGATCCGCTTTTCGAGCTGGAATCCGGCATTCCAGCTCGAAAAGCGGATCCCCGGCCAATCCCTCCTGAAAAGGGGGCCGTGATGAAGGTTGTCTTGGGGATCCGCTTTTCGAGCTGGAATCCGGCATTCCAGCTCGAAAAGCGGATCCCCGGCCAGTCCCTCCTGAAAAGGGGGCCGTGATGAAGGTTGTCTTGGGGATCCGCTTTTCGAGCTGGAATCCGGCATTCCAGCTCGAAAAGCGGATCCCCGGCCAATCCCTCCTGAAAGGGGGCCGTGATGAAGGTTGTCTTGGGGATCCGCTTTTCGAGCTGGAATCCGGCATTCCAGCTCGAAAAGCGGATCCCCGGCCAATCCCTCCTGAAAGGGGGCCGTGATGAAGGTTGTCTTGGGGATCCGCTTTTCGAGCTGGAATCCGGCATTCCAGCTCGAAAAGCGGATCCCCGAAAGGGGCCATGAAGGTTGTCTTGGGGATCCGCTTTTCGAGCTGGAATCCGGCATTCGAAAAAGCGGATCCCCGGCCAATCCCTCCTGAAAAGGGGGCCGTGATGAAGGTTGTCTTGGGGATCCGCTTTTCGAGCTGGAATCCGGCATTCCAGCTCGAAAAGCGGATCCCCGGCCAATCCTTCCTGAAAAGGGGGCCGTGATGAAGGTTGTCTTGGGGATCCGCTTTTCGAGCTGGAATCCGGCATTCCAGCTCGAAAAGCGGATCCCCGGCCAATCCCTCCTGAAAAGGGGGGCCGTGATGAAGGTTGTCTTGGGGATCCGCTTTTCGAGCTGGAATCCGGCATTCCAGCTCGAAAAGCGGATCCCCGGCCAATCCCTCCTGAAAGGGGGCCGTGATGAAGGTTGTCTTGGGGATCCGCTTTTCGAGCTGGAATCCGGCATTCCAGCTCGAAAAGCGGATCCCCGGCCAATCCCTCCTGAAAAGGGGGCCGTGATGAAGGTTGTCTTGGGGATCCGCTTTTCGAGCTGGAATCCGGCATTCCGGCTCGAAAAGCGGATCCCCGGCCGGTCCCTCCTGAAAGGGGGCCGTGATGAAGGTTGTCTTGGGGATCCGCTTTTCGAGCTGGAATCCGGCACTCCAGCTCGCAAAGCGGATCCCGGTCCGGATTCTAGCTTGTTGTCACCGGCGGGATTCGAACCCAAACCCCCTGCCAATCGCATAGAAAGGGCTTGACCACTGAGACAAAGGATCTTGTGGCCAAAGGCGCTTTTGGGTAGGTACTAAGCTTGTCACCGATCTCGAAAAGCGGATCCCCGGCCAATCCCTCCTGAAAAGGGGGCCGTGATGAAGGTTGTCTTGGGGATCCGCTTTTCGAGCTGGAATCCGGCATTCCAGCTCGAAAAGCGGATCCCCGGCCAATCCCTCCTGAAAAGGGGGCCGTGATGAAGGTTGTCTTGGGGATCCGCTTTTCGAGGGGGCATTCCAGCTCGAAAAGCGGATCCCCGGCCAATCCCTCCTGAAAGGGGGCCGTGATGAAGGTTGTCTTGGGGATCCGCTTTTCGAGCTGGAATCCGGCATTCCAGCTCGAAAAGCGGATCCCCGGCCAATCCCTCCTGAAAGGGGGCCGTGATGAAGGTTGTCTTGGGGATCCGCTTTTCGAGCTGGAATCCGGCATTCCAGCTCGAAATCCGGCATTCCAGCTCGAAAAGCGGATCCCCGGCCAATCCCTCCTGTCTTGGGGATCCGCTTTTCGAGCTGGAATCCGGCATTCCAGCTCGAAAAGCGGATCCCCGGCCAATCCCTCCTGAAAGGGGGCCGTGATGAAGGTTGTCTTGGGGATCCGCTTTTCGAGCTGGAATCCGGCATTCCAGCTTGCTGGGGTGTTGAACGCATGCTAGATGTTTGCCAAATGCTCCCTAAACTCTTTCTTGCTTTATGCTCGGTAGATGCCTGCTAGATGCTCGGAAAAAGCATTTTAGACGCTTGCTAGATGCTCCCTAGAGATGCTTGCTAGATGCTTGCTAGATGCTTGCTAGATGCCTGCTGAGTGCATGCAAGATGCTCAATGTTTGCAAGATGTTTTGTTAAAAGACGGGTATATAGATGCTTTGCTAGATGCTCGCTTAATGCTGTCTTGCAAGCGAGGTGGACATGTGAACCACTTTCAATTCATACCCTGTCCTCTGTGTGATGAAACGCTCATGATGTGGTGGGTGCCATTGTACGTTACACCGTGAGCCAGTCACAAGCCTTCCAACAAAGACCGGGTAGTTAAGATGTTTACTTAGCCTTTGCGGCCCAAATAGCCAACAAACAAAAGCACCCGAGCTGCACGCACGTTTGTACCTGCGACTCTTTGGACAGGTGACCAACTTGGTCTCAATTGAAAGTCCGCCCTCGCTCGCGAGAGACGCCGTCAGCTCCCTTATGTCCCAAGTCTTCACCCTCATGGGACAAGCCAGGGAGTCGGCTGAGGAGGGCGAGAGTGCCTTTGCTCATCTGCGCCTCTGACAGATGCAACCTTTACAATGCGCTCAAAACAATTGCACCCCTTAGGGGGGGCACTCTGTACAGCGCAAGGCTCGCAAAAGGGGCAATCCTGTGCTCTCAAGGGAACTGTTTGCCGCCCGCCGCAACATACGCCGGCATCGCGTCCTGAAGCAACGCACCCCAGACACGGGAGGTCTTTTGGACTTCCAGGAGTTTCGTGCGAACAGTGCGAACCCAGAGCGCCTCGCGCTTTGGGGGGCCTTTACCCCTGTCTTTCCAATGGCTTTCAGCCAATGGCGAGCGCGAAGCAAACCGATCCCAGTTGGCTCTCGGTTTCCTTCCGATCCCAGTTGCCCCCGAGTCACGAGTCCCGCAAAAGCTCCTGTGGAACCAGCGCCGCCACCGGAAGAACGTCGAAGTGCGGGCTGTGGGACTCCAGGTGGGCCTCCCGCGCCGACCCGGCTTAGGACGAAGCCGTTCTGGCAAACAATCAAAACCACGGGCTCGAACAAGAAAATAAACAACCACGTTTTGGGCAGATCTGACATACCCCAGCCCAAGGGGAAATTGGGAAATGGGGAAATGAGGATCTTCCACGTTCCCCAAAAAAAGCCCCTGATCCCGCAGTTCCCCTCCCCTTTGGTCCCCCTTCCTTCCAGCTCTTTTCCTTCCTTTTTTGCGGCTCGAAATGGCCTGGCCTGCCACTCCACGTCTGAGAAGAGCTCCTGGGGCTTCCGCAAGGTCTTGGTGAACTCTCCGTGCCTGGCGCGTGGCATCTGTGGGAAGGGGCCGAAGGTCGAACGTCACAAGCTAAGCCGGAGGGGCGCATCCACGATGTCCGTCAAAGGCCCTCTGCCCACCGTTGTCCAGTGAGGCGAGTCCCCAGGCATCCTCTCGTGAGGGCTTCTGAGTCCAACGGAGGCTCGCAAAATGCAAGGGCCCACAAATCGTCGGTTTCCTCCAAGCTTCCTTTCGTTCCCATTTTTAGGAAACACCTGTACAAGTGGAGACTGCTTTGTTCCTGCGACACTGCCCCAAACGCGGAGCAAACATGTCTTCCAGCCAAGGTGCCTGAATTGCACGAAGCGCCACCGTGGGCTGTGTGTGCCTGCCCACCGTGGGACTGCAGCGAATTCTTCAGTGGGTACCTTCCTTTGGAAGTGTGTGCATTGCCATCGCCTGAAAAACTCATGCTTGGGAAACACATACGGCGGGAAGGGAGGGGGATTCGAGTAGGGAGCTCGAATTACTTGCTTGCGAGACAGCCATAAAGACAGATTGACGGACAAACAAACACTCAGGTTAGACAGCTAAATTTCTGGACACATGATTGGTACATTGCTAGACCTTAATTGCAGGTCGGACTCACTGCAACGGCCACAATGTGTCGGACTCTCGTGGGTGCGCCAAAGGAAAGGATCAGAGTTCTCTCAATAGGGATCACCACAAGTGTTTCTCCGTCGGCCGCAAGGCACCGAACGCTTCAACCACGGCACATAGGCATCGTCATTCAACATCTCAACGACAACATTAGTTGGCGGAAACAGATCAGCTCTGGACACAGGTACACATCTCTCTCCAAACCCAAGAAAAGGCAACCACCTGATGAAAAGCAAAGTTCATCCAACCTGATCCTATTTTGGGATACGGCCCCAGCGTCCTTCCCAGGTCCCTCCTGCCTTCTATGTGCACATCCCCCTCGAAGGCCGTGCCCATCTCGTGGCCGGCCAACGGCTTCCAATGGAACTCGGCCTACAGCTTTTTTCGCCAGCATGTCATGTTTAGTTGGTGGCAAAAGCTTAGCCTAATCCATGCCTAATCCAACTCCAAACCCTGAACCAAACCTCAGGGTCCAGTGCCAGTATTTTGTTGAGTTGCTCTCACCAAGGGCTCTACCAACGAGGCTTATTTCGCGCATTGCGAATTCCCTACAGATTCCAGCAATCTTGAGGCAACGGGGCGCAAACACCGGTTTTGGCTGTTCAGTTTACATTCGCTTTCCCAAATGGGGGGAAGCGACGAAATGACTTTGCAACACCCGCAAACGAGTGCCTCAAGAAAGCCACCACGAGCGCACGTCCTTGGTATGAATGAACATTGGGGACCTTTTCGCGGGCATGACTTACATAGGGAATCTATGCACAACACCCGTCATGGAAGGGTTCCTGATTTCGGATCAGTCGTTGCCTTTATCACCGTATTGCGCCAGGCTGTGAGCCTACATTGCCGGATGCGGCGGAGGCGTGTGCTGGTTTGCGTGAGCTTTCCCGAGTCATAAATTTTGGGCCTTGATATGGGTTTGTTCTTGTTGAGGGAGCGATTGTTGCTTGTTGTTTTTTTTCCCAGCCCCTTTTGGAGTAAAAAAAAATGGCTCGAGGATTGGCGTTCCCCAACAAACACTCAAAGTTTGGCCCAGTGGGCTCTGCGACCCAAATTGGCTTTGGTGTCAAAGAAAAGGCCAACCAAATCGACTCAGCGCATTCACGCCCTGCCCTTCCGTGCCCTGCCGCTCCGGCGCCTTGCCCAGAGGATATGCCAGGCCATCGCCGCGCGCCTTTACAAAGGCCTCCTTGGCGGACCAAAAGCGCGAGAAGGCCTGGCGGAAAAGTCAGAAGCGCGCGGCTGGGTTGATTGAAGAAGCATCAAACCAATCCAGCCATCCAGCCCATCCCTCCGTCCATCCATCCAGCCATCCATCCATCCAATAATCCGTCCGTCCACCGTGTCGAATTCTGAGCGGTTTCTCATTGAAGGCAATGGGCACTAGTTATGTTGCCCGTCTGTACAAAGTGTCTCAGAGCAGATAGTGCTGTGGATGTCCGTGCAAAACACACGCCCTCCTGCACAATGGAAAATCCAAGCCGCCCGATGAGGTTTGGTTTTATTGCAGACCATTCCCAACAAAACTGGTTCCGGAATAGTTCTAGCAGACCTGATTGAAGGCACATCCCTTTCCAAACATGAAGCCACCGGCAGCCACGACTCGGCCGGCCCCACCTCATACTCCCTGTCATGGCAAGGGCCATGCTCCTTCACATACTCCCACTCTTTGAATGTGAGGTTGTCCTGGCGCAGCTCTTTTCCTTGTAGCACAAGGGCAATCCGGTGACTCAGCCAGCCTGCCTTGAGCAAAGCCCAGTTGGACACACATGGAATTCAGTACATATTACATATCCATGAAGCCTCTGAAGAAAAGAAGGAAAAAAATGAAGAAGAAAAGAAAGAAGAAAAAGAAAAAAAAGGAAGAAAAAGAAGGAGAAAAAAAAAGCGCGCACACACACACACCAGCAAAATCGGTATCAATCAAGCCAAAATGTCCATCTTCCAAGCATAGCAAATGCAGTGTCTTCCTTGAAAACGTTGTGGAAGTCAATGGGCTGTCCATCCTTTCGCTTCCTCCGAAGCCTAAGGCACAAACTGGCATCTCTCCTTAACAACAAATATAGGATGGACACGACTCAACAAAGCGGCAAAGAGGGGGGAAGCAATTCAGCCGCCATGGTCAGCCAATGACTTCCCCAAGTTCCGTACTTGCAATCTCTAAGAAGACATCATATCCAACGTAGCAAGTGTCACGCTCTCTGGGCTACGCACTCCGCCACATCAATGCCTGCGATGACGTGGGGCTCGCTGGCACAAACTACCTCAGAACAGGCGGCAGGCGGACGCAAACACAGACTCACACCCACACACACCTGCTGCTGGCAGCGGAAAATGGGACTCGTGTTCATGATGCCTGGGGCTCCGGCCCAACTGCCTTCGTGGGAGCAATTCACATTCCAGTTGGGCGCCTGCGCCAGTGGGCAAACCGTCAAACCAGACATCGGCGCAGGCATGCAGCCACTGAACAGCAACGGGCCAACATTGCCAACGGGGCCAACAGAACCCCAACATGACCAACAGGACTGATGAACAGGACCGACAAACCACGGGCATCAAAACCAATGAACCAAAAGAGCGCAGTACTCGCTGGGCGCAAAGACCGCAGCTGCGCCTCATCTTCGGGAGGTAGCGGCTGCGCAAGGAAGGGCTTCCTTCCGAGGGAATGTGGCCACCCACGCGCCGGTCCCCGAGGCCAACCAAACGGGATTCTTGGCACAAATCGCCCTTGAGACCACTCTGTTCTTTTAGCGGCCGATCGGCGCCCACGCACGGGCCTGCCCTTCGTTCTTTTGATCTCAATGTCATTGAAATTCGTCATATTCCTCGGCTTTGGGCACTCCAAAGGTGCCGCACAGTCAACCTAGTCTGCATTGCGCACTGCAACCCCTGCTCTGCCCAGGCTGGTGACCGGCAGCCAGCCAGTCGCCAATGCTTTGCCACCCGTTCACATAATCAGCTTAGGTCGCATAGGGTGGCCTTGCAGGAAGAAGAGCTGGTCCAACCATGATTTGTTCGTTTTCATAGATTATTGTTTTTAGCTTAACGAAACTCGCACATGCTCCTACAAAGCCCAGCATGTCCTAAGTGAGAAATTCGTGGGGAGAATGGTCCAGGCTGACAATGCCCATGAGACACACCGAGCCCCGCCGAGCTGCAAAGAGGAGGCGCTGGCCTGACCTTGGATTCAAACGGACGCGGGGCTTGAATGTCCCCTTCGGCGCGTATTGCCACATTCCGTGTCCGCTGTGTTCAAGTAAGCCATCCCTCTGTTCAGAAATTACCCATTCCCCTATAGGCCTATAGGTGTTGAGCGAGCTTTCAAACAGAAGGATCCATTAGCGGCATGGCAAGATCCGTGCAATTGTGTCACTCGCTCAAGGCGTTGGTCCGTCTGAAGTCATAAGTCATACCAAGGGGAATTCCGCTTGAAGTGACCAAGTAGTTGTGAGGTGGCCAACTCCGGTATCCCGGAAACACTCACTTGACAAAATCCTTAGCATAGTGTCTAGCTTCCTTATTATCATCCCTACAAAACCCCCACAAAGAATCGAGAATGGGGCCGCGCCTACTTAGGATTTTGGAATGTCCCCAACTAAACTTCATCTACTCTGTACTTGGGCTCACCTCTTCCCTCCCCCCCTTCCCAAAGTCCGACACCCCACCCCTCAGTCCATGCCTATCCCCCCCGGCTTGCCCTTCCGCGTCCAGGCGGCGCACCAGGAGGCGCGAGACCAGCGCTCTCTTCTGGTCTTCCAAGAACTTAAAGCGCATCACCTGGCGCCGAGAGCACGGGGCGAGTTGCGTTTGGGCAGAGTCTGGTATGGATATGGGGATATGGGATACTCGACTTGTTGCCTTCCTAGCAACATGGTGGAGGGTCTGCGCCAAACTTGGATCCATGCCTCCCCAACAGGAAAGCAACCCTTCAAGTTCATGGGGGAAACCTCAAACTTGCCAGGCCGGCTGCTTTTCTGTCCACCTCCTCCTTGATGAGATTCAGCAAAAACTGAAACTCTCTTCCTTCCTCAATGGGCTTCATGCCAAACTTCCCCCCAGAAATTCACGAAAGAGCCAGCTAGTGCAGAGGGAACCACCATGAAACCCGACCACCTGGATAGCGCTACCTTACGAGGGACATATATATATATATATATAATATATATATATATATATGTACATGGTCACATACGGCCGAAGTCGTCAGCGCTGGCTCAGCTCCGGGCAGCTCCGCCCAGCGGCTTCCATGAGTCGATGTTCACGGCCTTGCGGAAGAGATGTGGCATACGTGGCCCGAGGCCGAGCCATGCTCTGGCAGAGCACGCCGAGCTCCTCCCGCGAGGTCAGCCAGCCATCTTTGTCAAACTGGAGCTTCACCAGTTCCGCATGGCTCATGCACGCGACTTTGGAAACCCGGCAAAAGGAACTAGGGAACTGAGCGTAAAGCTGGCCATGGAAATGCTGGCGACGCGCAGAGTATAGCTCTGCTCCCTCCCTGCCCCCGTGCGGCCGGGACGGCGTAAGGCTGGACGGGACGGCAAAGTCTCGCTTTGAGGACCAGGCCCAGCGGTGTGTGTAGCCGGAGGATGGTCCAACCACTTCTCTGTGCTTGATGGGCAAAGACAGGGCCTCAGAGAAAGGGAGCAGAATGGAAAAGACCTGGCCCTGAGTGCCGGGCCGTCTTAGCTTCCTTCACGGGCTCTCCATCATGCCCAGGCTCCTGCAGGAGCTGCCAACATGCCCCCAAGTTGGTCTGGTGTGTGCATGCTGCCGCTGGAAACAAGCAGTAGTCACATGTCAAACTCGTCCGTGTCATCATGCATGGAAAACTGCAAGTCCAAAGGCACTTAGACTAAGGCCCTCCCACGCGACCCGGTTCGATGTAGTGTTCGGCCATGCCCCGCCTTCACCAGCAAGTCCTTGCCGCTGATGCGAATGCTCACCCAGCCATCCTCGCAAGCGAGACATGCAAAGCGCAGAAAAAGGAGAGGCTGGGAGTCACAAAGCGTGAAGTGCCTGATCTTTCTCTGCTTTATCTGTATCTTGGGTGTATTGAAATACTGGGACACTCCAAAATGACTGGTTTCCTTTTGCTTTCCCTTTCAACCAATCCCCAAAAAGCGTACCCTCGAAAAGAAGGATCCAGTATGAAGGCGTGTTGCGTCTTTGGAGGCCCTCCGGAGATGTGGGGAACCCGGTTGAGCGCGCACAGGTGGCAGCTTTCGGAGGTCCCCGCAACCCGCCGCCGAGCTCGGGGAGCTTCCCTCTAGAGGAACCAACGGCACTCACCATGGGCTTGGCAACGGTTGCAACGGCACGGCCCAAAAAGGAGAAAGCCACAACTTGAACAACAAAAAACAAAAACCAGGGCACGGCCAAAAAGAGAAACGAAACACAACTCAACAACAACAAACAAACAAAAAACGCACAACTTCCTTTGGCAGCAGCCATCCTCCGGGCCAGTGCCAGAGATGCACTTGAAGTGCAGCCGATCCCCCGAGAGGTGCAGCTCCTCCACCTGGTTTTGCCGAATCCATTGGGCGGGGCGGGGCTCGGGGCGGTCGCACCTTTGGAGGTGCAAGGCGCCTAAGTCTGTTGACTTCGATTGGTTGGACCCTTTGCACGTGAAATACCGGGGGATTCATGTCCACTGAGCATTTTGGAGGGTGCTGCCCATGAAAATTCGCAGCCGAAACATGGGACTGGTTTGAAGGAAGAAGAAAAGGATATGACGGACCTGGAAAAGCTCTTTCTTCCGTACTTGCGCAAAAGTCCGCTTTCGATTTCGGGCACTTGTGGTGTTCGCGGGGTGTTTTCGTTGGGTGGCTTTGGTTCTGACTCCGAGCCGCAAAAGAAACCAAGTTACTGCTGTGCGCCAAGAGATAAGCAGCCCCTCCCAGCAGCCTCCCCTGCAACACCCGTTTTGCTCTTTGCCCATGTCCGAAAGAAGCCGCCACTTTCCGAAAGGCCAAAGGGCTGTGGCGGTCAAACCAAAGCGCCAAATTTCAAGCCCTTGGCTCAGCGGGGATAGAGGAGCCTTTCGACTGGCCTTGGCGCCAGTAGACAGGCGCTCCGCTTTGGCAGGCGAGGACAGCTCCTGGGGGAGCTGAAAAGGAGCTGAATCTGGGGCCTTGCAAACGTCTGGCTTCCTTAGTCCCTGTGATTTGTTCTATTTTGCCTGTCGGATTCAGTTCCCTTTGGTTTCCTTGTTTCCTCCTGGTTTCCTTGCGCTTGCCTTCTGTTTGCCTGGCGGCTTCCTTCTGTTTCCTTGTGAGGTTCCGTGTGCTTCCTGCAACAAAACCATCAAGGGCGCGTACCCAATGATTCAACGCTTTCACCAATCGGACACGTTCAGAATGAGAGATCATCAAAAAGCATGCTTATGCTTATTGCTTTCCTTTGCCCGACATTCCGAAATTGCCTTCACATGGAGAAGCGACCTCTGAGGCACAAACCTAAACCCTAAAAACAGAAGAAGACAAAAAGCTTCCCTGCAACCCCAAAGCCCACAACCTCAAAAGCCTAAAACCCTAAACCCTACAAGCCCAAAACTGAACAACAAAATCCTCATGGATCCTGTTCAATCCTTGTCTTCGCCTCCGCCATGTTCGTCTTTCGCTACAGAATTGTCGGCTTCAACAGCCCGCGGGCAGCTTTTGGATTGACAGGTGTTGTTCCTTGTGGTCAACTGACGCCTCAGATGTGGACCCTGGTTCTGCGGGAATGCTCTTCTGGTGTTCCTTGTAACAGACCCAAATGACAAGGCACATCAGCGAAAGGTCAAACGAGCGCATGCCAGAGGCTACCTCTCGTGGCCTCTTCCCTATAACCCGCAGCTAGCAGTCCATCGGATATTTATGTCGCTGTGCCAGGGACTCAATGGGAAACACTCCAACTTTTATCACGGAAGGGGGCGGCTGCTTGCCAAATAAATGTCCATCTGGTTTGGGAGTGCATCCCGGACCCACTCCCGTTTTGATGTTGGAATCAAACCCTCCAACCCGCAGCCCGGCTCTCCGGCCTGGCCGCTTCGCACCAGGATGCCGCCCTTGTCAGCTCCTCCTACCACCTGCCAAATTGCCAGGTGCTCGGCCCAAATCTGCGGGGTCATCCATAAGACAAGCTCCAAATGGGAAGCTTCACGGCACGGCACGGGTCAAGCCAGCTACGTGGTCTGCAGATGCCCCAACCACATTTTTTCACGAGGGACGGGATGCGCTTGGGGCCCGGCAGTCCAAACTGAAGGCATGCAGGTTGTGATCCTCGCCTGGGAGCGCTTCCCAACGAAGCCGAAAGGACTCCCATGCAAAAACAACCAAACATATCAGGTCTCTCAAAATGCGGCCCGTGCCTCCGATTGATTGCTTGCACACTTGGGAAAACTGCAGGTGCATGCCTGTCTTTCAAGCGTCCGCCAATTGCCCACTACTTGTGCACCCGACCAACACACACAATACGAGCTGCGGTCGGCGGTCGCCGGGCGCAGCTTCCATCAAGGCTCCGGCCACGTGTCTCACCGCGAGGGACGTCGCGCAATGGCGGGGCACTTTACGGCTCCCGGTCGCAAGTGTAAGCTCAAGATGCCGAGACAGTGAAAAACTTTCCAAGATTGGCGCGTGGAACACAACGACTCAGCTCTGGAAAATCGCCGCTAGAGCTTGAGCCACATGGACAAAAATATTCAGTACATGCTGCCGTTGTATAGCTCACAAGGTCCACAAGAATGCTGCAAACAATCTGCAAACGGGTCACACGTTTTTCCGCTTTGGAGTCATTGGCTACAAAGCTTGGCGCAGCAGCCGCCTCCAGCTCTGGAAATATTCGATACAGTCTGGATGTGACGGTGGATTCCGAAAGAGCGTCTAACGATCACTTGAGGAGCGGGTGAACGAAAGCTAGCAGTTGTTGCATGGGATGGGTCGGTGACAGAGTGGATTCATAGGTAGCTTGTGTACAACGAGAGGCCCGGCAAGACTCGTAGGATGCGACACGCAAACGCACATGGTGGCGCGGCAAACCTTGAAAAATGAAAACAACGAGAGGCGTCAGAAGCTGTCTTAAAGCACCTCTGGGTTCTGCATGCTGCGTGTGCAAAGATTCTTGCGAGGTGGTTTACTGAGAAGACTGAGATCTCAAATGAACAAGCTGAATCGGTGGAACATGTAAAAGTTCGTAGCACCAAGTCCAAAACGGGCAAACCGAGACTGCTGAAACACTGAGCCACTGCCCGGGGGGAGGGGTGGACCAAGGAGGAATCGAGCCTGAGACGGGGGGGGGAGGGGGGGTTGTCTAAATAATTGATTTGTTTCAATCTTTCCGGCTCAAATAATTGAAAAAATCAATCTTTCGGCAGTTGAGCCCCTTACCTTGCTTACGCAAGGAGAAACTTCAGCTAGCTAAAGCTAGCTTTCGTGAACAGAGTGCAGACAAGGAAACAACAGGTGGAATCACGCAGCATATCCAAACCGCTTCATGTCCAGCCCAAATTCAACCCCCCCCCTTTCCTCCAGCTTGTTACTCAAGGGGATTTTTTCATTCAGTGAGGATTCCTTCCAGGGAGACCCGTTGATTGACAACAGGGGGATCATGTCCTGTCGCCCTCCCAGCCCCTGGCCGAGAGAACTCAGCCATGTGCGACGTGCGGCCTGAGTGAAAGCGGCTGAGCAAACCAACCCCAAGCCAAGTGGGATACACTTGATGTTGCATAAAAGGTGGTAGATCTCGTGTTCCCTTGGGGTAGAGGAAACTAACCTGGGTTGTTGCTCCAGCATTCCTCCCTTTGCCTTGGCCTGCCTGTTTTCTGGCGACGGCCTGAAACAGTGAAACCTTCGCTGCGCCCAGTGACAGCCAAACAAATCCGTTCCAGGTTGAAAGCTTTGGCACACAAAAATTAGGCTGACAGCGCGTTGAAACATGTCGACCATTGGGAAGTGGGGAAGTCGTGGAAGCGCTATGTGGTTGGCTCAAAATTGAACAGGAGGGGTTACGCAGGTGTTGGTTCACGTTTCCACTTACCAGGCTTGGTACCGGTTTTTTGAGCCACAGCCATGTGGGGCCGTTCGGCCTTTCCAGCTTCGGTTGCCAGCTGAGCTCTCTGCATCGTTTCGAGCCCGTTTCGGATGTCCCGCCTGGCAGAAGCGCTCGTGTTGCTCCAGTGCCCGCTGCTCCACGAAGCTGCGCCCGCAGCCCTTGGAATTTAAGATGGAGAAGGATGCCATGGTCGGCTACAGCAGTATGTGTATGTATGCATGTGTGTATATATATATATATATGCATGAGTGAGTGTGCCAGTCCTCCCGCCTCACACACACACACAAACACTCACTCAGAGCCCGAGCCCCCGTTCTGAATCCCCCCCGGCACCACTGAGCCCAGGAAAAGCCAACCCTCAACCAACCCTAAACCAACCCGAAACCAACCGAAACCAACCCCAAACCAATCCCAATCCTAAACCAACCCTAAACCACCACAACCCCACCAAAATCCCAGACCAACCCGAAACCTCACCCGCAACCCATAGGAGGTGGAGCGAGAAGACACATTGCACAGTGGCTGCGTAGTGGTCTCCCATGAAACCCGGGTGTAATGGTGGTAGTGGAAACCATCTTAAAAAGCAGGTGTTGGTGCCCAAACCTGAGAACCTTCATTTCGGGACTGGGAGATCAAGGTGAGGGTGTTGAGATCACCCAGGGTATGAAATCACAATTGGTCCATGGGGCTGAACCAACGGTCTAGCAAAACGGGTCGAGAGGGAGGGGAGTGGGAGGCACCCCAAAGATCTTCGGGAGGAAGGAAGGAGGAACTTGAGCAAGAGTGCGTAACATGACTGATAACAGGTAACAATGTCGCTGAGGATTTCTTCCACCTCTGATCCTTGCGAGCAAGCTCGGTGCGGATCAGAGCTGAAATTCTGAAGTTGCCCAGCAAAGGGAGGGCATCTCTGGTTCTTTCTTTTCGGAACCTACGATTGCGGCCATCCGTCAGTTCAACCGAGGATGGCGCGCAAGCGTAGGGGCAATCCACCTGCGGCCTTAGAGCCTGGCGCAGAACAAATGCGGGACCACCCATGTCGGTGGGCAAAAGCAACCAATGGAACCACCCAAATGCAACCACCCAACCATGTTGGCAAAAGAACCACCCAGGTTGAAAGGAGATCGACTTGGAGGGTGTTCCTCGTCCCGAAGCTCTGGCAACGCTGATGGCCATGGGCCCTGTGATGCACAGACTGATGGCTGCACACTCTGCATCGCCTCCTGGTGGGCTGCTCTGGACATCCACAGCGGCAGCGACATGCCACAAATCGCGCAGCGGCGGTAGGCGAAGCCCTGCACATGCCAAGATCAAATCTGTCTGTGTCTCATATTAAAAAAAAAAGGAAAAAAAAAGAAGAAGAAAAAAAAACAACTCCCATATAATGAGCACCAACGCCTTGTACCAGTCGGTGGCAAAGCAAGCTCGCAAGCCCCGAGTTGACGCATTCTGGCTGCAGATCCGAATTAGCTGACCCCCCCCCCCCCCCCGGATGCTATCTGCCTCCCGCGGAACGATGTGTTATTACATATTTCACTGGAAAGTCATGGCAATTATATAAGCTCTTGCTTTTGATCCGAGCTGCAACCCAATGCATCCTCTGGCCTCCAGGCAGGTGCTGCGCACCCGCCGGTGGCCAGCGGAATCACCTCAAGTTCCACTGCACTCTGATTTTGGCGCGAACCTGTGCTCGGCTCACGACTGAGTCAGCGACTCAAAACGAATCGAAAGGCTCCAAAAGAAGCTCAGACCAGGACCGCTGTGAGCTGCGAGGGAATGTTGATACAGCGCCTGACAGCTTCCAGCTGGGGAAACCTTTAGAACTTTTCTCAAGACAGGAAAATCTGAAGCTGGCGGTGTCCATTTGGCTCAAACAAAGGCACACCCTTTGGAGGTATCTGTCAAATCTCCGAACAACTCCACTCAAGTCACAGTCCTTGATTGTCGCACCTAGATGTTTGGGCCAGTCAATATGTTATTTGTGTTCCCAATTGGCATGGAGTACTTCAGAGTTGCACAACTCTTGAGTCCCCTCCTGCCTCGCTGTCACAAAAGCCTCGTCCACACTGGTCGCAAGTGACCTGCGTCCCATCCCTTTTGCCATGGTCAAAACTCCTTTCTGCGTGCAGGTCACGGTCACGGCTTTTCCCGGGTCTTTCTGGGTCTGAATTTCCCCCATCCAAGTGCTTGATGACTTCAGCCATCCCGGCCTGCAACTCACCCCTCGGTTTCTCCCCGTACCTTGGGCGATCGGCTCTTCCATCCCAAGATCAAGCACGGGAAAATGGAGGGGAGAGTGATCCGCATCCCCACCAGCGGACGAAGCCAATCAGCTGAAAGCAAAACACGCATCAGGGACCCGGGCTTCTTCAGCTCGTGCACCTGAAGTCAAAACAGACCCATGGACCTGCAAAGTCTTCCGGGAGTGCCTTTTCGGGCTGTGTGGGGGGGGGGGAATTTTCGGCGGGGAGCCGTCGGTACACATTGTGTACATGGAGATGGCATGTCCACCAACCAATGTTGAGGATGCTCCCCAAGAACATTCCTGGTCGAGTCGACTTGCTTCTGTTCAGAAAGCAGCTCTCTCTCTCTCTCTCTCTCTCTCAAACACACATTGACTCTCCCTGCACGGACTCCGACCGCGTGTATGCCCTTCAAGAATTTGCTGCAAACACTTGAAGATGCACGCCATCCTGACAGTCCGATCATTCTCTGGCACTGGTCGTGCGAGCAGCTGCCAGGCCAATTGCCACACATCGCTGGCTTCTCACATGCTTTTATTCCACACCATATGACTGCAAGTCAAGTCAAGAAGGAAGCACTCTGCTTTCGGTGTGCACAAGCGTGCTGCCGCAAGTGGAAATTGGTCCATGTTACTCC